TACTGTTCAAATTAGTTACAAGAGAATTAAAAGAAAATCCGATGAGCTCAAGTTCTCTCATACTCAAAATTACCTAGGAACATTCTACGAGGGTGACAAGCAGCCAACACCCAAAAAATAGGAAGAGAACCTTTGATAGTGAGTAAGTGTAATCTCTCAACCACAAAACACAGGAACCTGCAAAAAAATACAAATTCTATAAACAACGTATTTTGAGATCATGGTTAGATCTAGGGCAGCAACATCGAGGGCACGTAGCTGCACTGTCTCAGACCCGTTACACTGAATTGACATATTGGGCGACTCGATCAGTCAATTTGTCTCTCAACTCCTTTTTATTTTATAACTCGGATCAAAATACTAGCAATGATTTGAAATATGACAAACAATAAGAATGTAAAAAGAGAAATTACAAATATATGGTGTCATACTTTTAAAGAAACCACTGATCTCACTATCGATATTTTGCTAGCCCCAATTAGTGCAATCTAAAATGAAGTCTTAGATTTTGTGCAAGTGGAACATCTTCCATGATTGATTTCCATAGACTGTCAATCCACTAACCGCTTCAAATGAAAAAGCCTGGAAAAACGTCTTTTGTTTGCCTTGCCTAGTTTCAACATTTAAGAAATACATCAAAAGGGTCAATCCAGAAAGCAACCATAAAAAAATCGCACTGACATGAAGCACTGATAGCCCAAAACTATGGCAAATTATTCTGTGCGGACATCGAATGCCGTCCACAGACCAATTAGAATGCGCTAACTCACTCCTGCTTGGTACTGCGGCTCGGTACCGCGGTCGGTATTGTGCTCGGTACTGCTTACGTGGAGCATTCTTGTTGGTCTCCGGACTGTGAAATGCGTTCGGCATCCACACAGAATAACTTCTCCAAAACTACAATATAAATATACTACTAATGATTGACACAAAATTTACATGTAAGCCACCCAAATGTTAGAATCAATGATGGTGAAACTCTTCTACAAACTTATATCCACTTTTTTCGATTCAAGAACATCCTCTGCACATCCTGAGGCCAAGAGGATTTAAATTTAGGGTTTTGGATCAACCAATAGTTGCTGATGGCTTCTTAAGAAACTGAAAAGTAAGCTTTTCTCATACTGGATCCATGGACTGCCAAAAACAACCAGCTTGGAGTTTGAACAAGTGGCTACAGAAACGAACAGTGGTATTAGCCTGAATAAGATAGGTCTGGAATATCATGTACTAGAATGTCAGCATGGTGAGAAATTATTCCGTGCGGAGTCCAGACGGGAAATATGCATTCGGACTGTGAGTGTACACACTGTGTACATTATGTACAATTTTTGTATACAGTTTAGTTCAAATTGTGTACACGCTATTTGTACATAGTGTGTACACTTATAATACGGACGTATATTTCTCGTCAGGACTCCGCACAGTATGATTTATCCAGCATGGTTAACCATTTCCCATGCTATTGCACATATGATGTATTAGACATTTTGGAAGTACATAAGGTTACTCAAACAATCAAAACGTACTTCACAAAGAGTATCGTTGTTGCTAATCACCGATGGTGTCAAAACAGATTGACAGATCAAATTTAGGATCGGCTCAAAATTGACCCAATTCAAAATCAATCCAAACAAATCAACTCATTTAATAACGGGTTAAAAAGATGAACTCAAACCCAATTCATTTGCAACTTAAATGATCCGAACTTAACTCATTTTAACTTAAAAAATATATTATAATTTATCAGCTATAGATTTTAGATTATTTGGTTAAAAATAAAATAAATAAAACCACAAGTAAAACAATTTAAGTTAAAAAAATTATTAAACAGATAATTTTCAAGTCGCTAGGAGATTGATGAGTCAACTAGAGCCCAAAATATTTAATAAATAAATCAAAATTTTATTCCCGATCCTAACCCATTTATAAAATGGATCAATGCAAACCTACATTTTTTTAACTAGATTCAGAGTCCAAGTCATTTATTGATACCCATAAAATATTCAAACCCACAAGTAAAACAATTTAAGTAAAAAAATTATTAAACAGATAATTTTCAAGTCGCTAGCAGATTGATGAGTCAACTAGAGCCCAAAATATTTAATAAATAAATCAAAATTTTATATCCGATCCAAACCCATTTATACAATGGGTCAATGCAAACCTACATTTCTTTAACTAGATTCAGAGTCCAAGTCATTTATTGATACCCATACCAACCACCGTTAACTCATTGCCTATCATTGCAACTACTTTGCCAAGAACGACATTCACCACATTAATTAAATTATTCAATATTCAATAAAAATAAAATTAATAATTTTAAAATATCAAACATCTTTAATTTCATTTGAAAATATAAATAAATAAAATTAAAACCAAAAAACAAAAACAATACCAAAAGTCCCCTTAATATACAGCATTGACTAATGCTTCCCAGCAATACATGAACTCTCTCTCTCTCTCTCTCTCTCTCTCTCTCTCTCTCTCTCTCTCTCTCTCTCTATATATATATATATAGGGGTGTCAATTCGGGTCAACGGGTCGGGTTCGACGAACCCGAACCCAAAACTGACCCAGCGCTATATGACACGACCCGAACCCGACCCCGACCCGATTTTGTAAACGGGTCGATTTGTTCGACCCGGACCCAACCCGTCGGGTTTCCAGGTTGAACCAACTCGACATGAATTTAAGGGATATGGCTGAAGAAGTGGCGCTACTTCCAGTTCCGACGAGGTGGCAAGATGTCCAATTTCCCGGCAAAGCGACGGTGCGGCAGCAGCGGCCGAGCGGCATCGTGCTAAGCGCGAAGAGCAAAAGCCGGCGATGGGCGACGGCCTCTCCTACGAGGCGAAGAGACGCAGACGCGAAGTTGCAGACTGAGGGACTGCAACTCGACTCAACGCATCGGAGTCGAGTCTTTTCATGGGTAGGGCGGGCAGACTGGGGCAGCAGACTCAGGCATAGGCAATTCCGGGTCAGTTTCAGGTTATTTCCGGGTTTTCGGGTCAACCTGAACCCGACCTAAAACTCAAATCAGGTCAGCTATTTGAACCCGATCCAGACCCGTTTGCTAACCGGGTCGACCTGAACCCGAATTTTTTCGAGACGGGTCTGAGTCGGGTCTCTCTATATATATATATATATATATATACGTCCATCAATGCAAAAAAAATAAGCCTACATTGGGTTGAAATATCCCTAACAAAAATCTAATGAGTTCAAATCACCAAAAAGAAAAAAAAGAATAAACACAGTAAATATTTTCTTAAAGAAGGAAATAAAAAATGGAATACTATCTAATTGCCTTGGTATATACAATTAGTTGGATTTGGGCGCATTATGACTGCAGCCTAAAGCATTGTCCACTTCAATTTGCCAGTAGAACATTATGGTATGAGATTAGAGAGCCTTTTAATCTCTTAGGTTTCCATTGCTGGCTCGTTCAAATCTGGCAAACTAAATTGAGGCTTTGCCGCTTCATCCCCAGCTCTTGAATGCTGCAAGCTCGACTGCAAGAAGAAAATATGAAGAAACTTATTACGAAATAGCAAAAGAGGAAAGATCATTCATTTTGCAAGCAGTGTTAAAGCATATCCGTACCATTTACAGCACAACATGGAAAAATATATGATGGGGGGAGGACATTTAGGCCAATTAAGACAAGTTCGCACATATCACATACGCAAAACTCGAACACAATACCTCTTGATTGATAGCCAAAGCTCCCAACCAACAGATCAAGATGAGTTGCGTATGATAATATCGAGTATTATACTTTTTGGGGTGATTTACATACATACAACTTTATTTTATGTTATTTACATATCTAACACCCAAAACTTTAATATTACATGTCTACCACACATAGAACAAATTCGAGTGCATGGAATAAAATATTAAAGTTTATAGGATAATATGAATGGTAGAAATGAATTATATGAGTGATATATTTGATATTAAAGTTTTATATGAGTGGTATGCATGTAATATTAATGTTTTGGGTGTTAGATATGTAAATAGCATGAAATAAAGTGGTATGTATGTAAATTTCCCTTTTTTGGGACATTTAAGTCAATTACGGCATACTCACACACACATCACATACGCAAGACTCGAACTTAAGACCTCTAAATTGATAGACAAAGCTCTCAACCAACAGATCAAGATGAGTTGCGTATCGTGTATTATAATATTAAAGCTATAACACAAGAGACAAGAAGAATCCAAGGCAAATCCAGCATGAAGGTCAAGGTTGGACTAAATTGCTTGGCCATTTGATTAAGTTTCAGAGGATCTTTACAGAAGAAAGACTCTAGGGTGGACCACTATTGTCTTTCTCTTTTGTTATTTGTGTTCAAGACTTCTTCCATAGAAGATAATGCTAAAAAATAAGAAAACTTAACTGACATAGAAGAAAGTTGTAGAGCTGCAATAATAACCTTCAGCATGCCCTCATTGACCAAGAGCGTTGAGGCATTTTCTACAGTGAGTTGCTGATATCCAAATCACCTAACTGTCATGTCACTCCATTCATTCCTCCACTATTATACTTCTTAAATTTATTTTACAAAATATTCATCTTAATATTCTAATTTCCATAAATGACAATTTAACTATCAATATGTTTTTCTTATCTAAACCTAAAATACAGAGAAACAACTAATAGCACTCTGTTTGGTTTGGAGGAATTGAAAGACAAGAAATGACAAGTAAACAAAAATGGCATTAGAAAAAGGAATCGAAACAAAAAATTATTTTCATCATTTCTTTGGATTAGGAAAAATTTATTAAAACATCAAGCATTTATCCCACTACGTAGGGTTCGGCTACATGAATCTTTTTTCTCTATTGTATCCTGTTAAGAGTCAAATTCTTATTTAAATCAAATAAAGAAATATCATTTCTAATATTTTCTAACCAAATCTTTTTAGGTCTACCTCTACCTTTCTTAACGTAAGCCAAATTTAATACATCTATTTTCTAACTTGGTCATCAGGAGGCTGCCGTTTTATGTGACCAAACAATCTAAGATGGCTCTCCCTTATCTTCCACTGGAGCTACTCCAAAATTTTCATGTATATGCTCATTTCGCTATTGAAATCTATATTTTTTTTATTTTTGCTTGCAAAAAAGTAAGAGGATTTTGCTTCTTAGAAGGACATATGTAGTCACCATGATTACATATCTAAATAAAAACCACCTTGAATAGCAGCCATGGTAGTCAGCACTAGAGTGCATAAGCTGAAAAAATCGTAGACACTGACAAATTAATCCTGAAGAGAATTTTCATCTCAAAAACCATACAATCCAAGATTATAAATGCCACAAAAACTAAATCATTCACTCCTATTTATACATATAACCACATAACCACATACACTCAACCTAGCCTTTTCACAAAATCTGCGATAAAACTTCCGTTGCTGACCTAGAAAAAAGACTAGAATACAACCCTCAGAAATTGAGTTGGGAGACTTCAATGCATTCTAGCATTATTTAGTCAAGAAAAAGAAAAATGACCAAAAGAAACTTGATATTTGACAAGAAATACAAGGGGCATTTAGATAACAACTGCAAGATAACTATTTAGCACTATAAAATATAACACAAACATTTTTTGTTCAAAAATAAAGTTACTTTGTCCTGAAATTTTTAATCAAACGTCATGATCATTTGTCTTGCACCGCTTGACGCAACAAAGAATCAGAAGCTTTTGAAATACAGAAAGAACCTTCAACAACAAATTTATTTTGAATGAAATTGAAATCAATATATTTGAAAAAGTAAACATAGTATTTGTGGACAGGGGCGGAACCGGCCTTAATTTTCGGGGGAGGTAAACTTATAAGTAACTGTCAAGGGTCCAAGGGGGAGGATTCAACCTGCCCGGTCAGGTAGCGGGGTCAAGGGACAGTGCCCCTGCGAGGGTTTTCGGGGGGCAATTGACTAAATATCATAGTACTTTAAAAATTTTAGAGGGGGCAATTGACTAAAAATCCTTGTAATAAAAATTAAAAAAATAGATGGTTACCTAAAGAATAAAATATAATAAAGATTTTTTTTTTTTTAGGGAGGGGGGCAGGGTTCCGCCCCTGTTTGTGGGGCGTAAAGTTAATTTGAATTTCTATTACACCTAATCAAATGATAGGTTTTGAACATACATAACGTGGTTGAGGTACTAGAAGACCTGCTCTCCATGCCAGTGCTATGCACAATTGACTAAAAATCTTTGTAATAAAAACTAAAAAAATAGATGGTTACCTAGAGAATAAAATATAATAAATATATATATATTTTTTTAGGGAGGGGGGCAGGGTTCCGCCCCTGTTTGTGCGGCGTAAAGTTAATTTGAATTTCTATTACACCTAATCAAATGATAGGTTTTGAACATACATAACGTGGTTGAGGTACTAGAAGACCTGCTCTCCATGCCAGTGCTATGCACCAGGACTGTGTAGAGGCACGAGTTGGCCCAATGTACCAGCATGGAACCAATGCTCGTTGACCTTGCAGTAAAAGAGCAACCCCCTTGAAATTATTGGTAAGGATACGTTTTAAATCTATTAAATTACATCGAGACATAAATGGTAATTTATTACTCCATCTTATATTTATCTTAAAATAAATTCTATATCTTCACATTCATCATAATCAAATCTTAACCCGGTGTCTTTTAAGTGGGGCCCAATCAAATACTAGCCATGAGATTTCTAGGATGGGTATTTCTTCTAGGTCAGCAGAAGATTAGTCACACCGTCAAGCACCTTTGCGAGGGTGGCAGCGGTGGATACTCAGTTCCAAAAATAATAATAATAATTTTGACCATCATATCCTGGCACAAATTTATTTTTTTTCCCAAGATGGTTACCAATTCGGATGCCCAACAACGTCCCCACAACTCCCATCTTTTCCAACAAAGAGTGTTAAGATAAACATAACCGCGCGGACACAAGCAGACAAAAAGCTTGTGATTGAACGGCAAAAAAGCAGCGGATAAGATCGTAAGAATCAAAATAAAAGAACTTACGCTCACCTTCTCACACTGCAGCCTCCGATTTTCCGCAATTTAATCAAATCTTAACCCGCTATCTTTTTAAGTGGGGCCCAATCAAATACTAGCCATGAGATTTCTAGGATGGATATTTCTTCTAGGTCAGCAGAAGATTAGTAACACCGTCAAGCACCTTTTCGAGGGTGGCAGCGGTGGATACTCCGTTCCAAAAAAAAAAAAAATTTTTGACCATCATATCCTGGCACAAATTTATTTTTTTTTCCAAGATGGGTACCAATTCGGATGCCCAACAACGTCCCCACAACTCCCATCTTTTCCAACAAAGAGTGTTAAGATAAACATAACCGGCGCGGACACAAGCAGACAAAAAGCTTGTGATTGAACGGCAAAAAAGCAGCGGATAAGATCGTAAGAATCAAAAGAAAAGAACTTACGCTCACCTTCTCACACTGCAGCCTCCGATTTTCCGCAATTAAAGCCTCCATTTCTTTCCGCTTGGATTCCACTCTCTGTCATTTTCCCATAAAGAAAGAAAAACGCAATTATGCGGGGGAAAAATCCATAAACAGCCTCATCAATCACAATAACCTAATTAAACAAGCTTTTAATGAGATTTAAATTCTTAGCACCCACCTTTCTGAGCATTGTGTTCTCATCGACTAAGAATCTCTCCTGCGACTGCAGCTCAGTAATCGTCTGATTTAAGCCATGTAAACCACTCGATTAATAATAATTTTAGAAAAATGACAGTTACGGTGATAGAAAGATCAAAGCCACAATGGATTAGTTAAAAAGTCCCGCACCTTCTTCTTCCCCTGCAACCTGATAGGCTTCGATGAAGTGATAGCGACTCCAACCAACGGCGACCGCCCGACAGCGCGACCCTGAAACCGCCATAACAAAGCATAACACGTGTCAATACATACGTGGCCGTCAGCGGGCAACAATCTCGTAGAGAAATTAGGTCGGGAAACCTGACCAAACTTTGAAAGGAATTTAGAAGGAAAGAAATTAAGTCATAATATTTCCATTAATATTTAATTAAAATTTATTTTTTAAATCTTCTTTTTTTTTTCGGAATGAGTTCTATTTAAAAAAAAGATATTTTAAATTAAATATAAAGTTTAAAATAGTTAAAAATTTTAAAATTAAGAGAGTGGATTTTATTTTTATATATTAAATGTTTTTAAAAAAATTGATTATTAGGTTATTTGACCAAATTTACTTCGAGGATGTCCCGTCCGAACATTTAAGAAGGATAATTTAAGAAAAATGGAAGGCCTTCACGTGAAAATAATGCCGCAGGCTCACAGGAACGAGCGTCGAGTAATCCGAAACGCGACAACATTCCCGCTCCGTATCGGCCGGGCGTGCCAGTGGACAAAATAGGCAATAATCCTTGCAGGGCTTGCCCCAGTTCACCTTCCTTGCTAGTGTAGCTTCAACATTAATTTTTATGGAAAGAATTTTAATAACAAAAATTACATCTTGCCCCTCAAATTTTGTTTTATTTGCATAAAATTTAAATTTTACAGATCGAATATCTAAATTTACACTACAACCGGATTTATCGGAAAGTCAAAATTTACAGTTAAAAAAAATAAGAAAAATAATTAACGTGTACGAAACGCCGAAACCCTCCGACGATTCTCATCGTTATATCGCAGGTGGAGATAGATCGGTGACCGAACTACTAATTGGAGTAGAGGATGAAAATTATGGGGTGAGAATAGCAGGTAATTATTTATGAAAAAATAAAAATATTATTTTAATTGGGCTATAACCACCTTCCCACCTGCTCACCAACACGCGAAACCGCACCAGATGATAAAGAGAGTGGCGAGGGTAGCGTTTAAACGACTCCTTTAATTTAATTTACAAAATTGCCCCTATCATACCAGCTGATTATAAGAGATGGGAGGAAGGGGTAGTAGAGTAAAAACAGACGAGGAAGTGGGATTAGGCTCGGGTGACCTGTAGGATTCGCAAAGCTCGCGGGCCGAGGAAGGGGAGGATGAAGAAAGACATTAAATAGGCTGACTTCCTTAACCCCACATCTTCACCTTATTTACCAAAACATCCTTAAAGGGCAATATTCTTCCCTATTAATTTTGCAAACTCGGTAATCGAATTCAACGATGCAGAAATCAGAATGCAGTTGATGTTTCATCTTCTATTTTTTTTCAAACCGAGTTCGTTATTTCGGCTCTTTGCGAGGGTACTTTGGTCAAGTAAAACAGAGGAAGAACGAAAATAAAAATAGACGGAAAACGGAAGCCTGGGAGAAGAATGGACCTTTTGGTCGACGCCACCGAAAGGGACAGAGGAGTCACCGGCGCGGCGGCGCTTGTTCATGGGCATCGCCGATAGGGAAGGAGCTTCGTCGCTTCCGCTGGTTGAAGGCAAGTAAGTTGCACCGAAGTCGAGAGGAGTGGCAGGACTTGGGCGGGTCGCAGCAGCCCGACCCGATGACTGGTCCTCCTGCTCCGGCTTCGAGATGCAGGAGCAGCGAGATCTCCTTGACCGAAGCCCCCATGGCGGAAGGAACAAGGAGGGGATCATCTCAAGGTTCTTCGCTTGCTTCGGCGGATTCAACGGCCATGGATCGCATATTGTCGACGGCGGACGGCAGAGCGGTAGGAGGCTGCAGAGGATCAGCGTCTCCGCCGCCTCCAACATCTGGTCGTCGGCATCTTCCATTGGAAGAGAGAGAGAGATGGAGAGAGAGAGAGATTTGAAGAGGAGGTTGGAAGAGGATTGGGGTTGAGAAAGTGATGGGTGACTAAAAACCTCGTCGTCGCTATTTATTAGGGCGTGAGGGGGTGTGCATTGAAAGGATGGGGTATCGACCCGACCGGTCGGTTTGGCTCATTTAGTACCTACCGGTTGAAATGGACCGGATTGCTGAGACTTCTGACATCAGATTTCTTCTATACGCTTTACTAATAGGCCGGAGAAGTTCTCATCTTGGTCTCTAGCCTTTCTGTAAAACTGGAATTGTGTCGGACGAATATTTTTTATTTTTATTTTAATTTATTAGAGATTGGCGCAATAAATCTAAATTATTCGTAGGAGTGTGAAAAGGGGTTTTTGGGTCTAATTCACCTTCAACTAATCCAAATTAAATCCGACCCGATTAAAAAAATATGTCAGAAATTCGAACTCATACCCAAACCACGGGGTTATCGGGTTGATCTGACCCGACACGAAGATGACAGGTGCGAGAGTGGAGAATGTGTCGTGTGCAAGCATGACTGTAGGTACTGAAGGGACTGCGTGGTCGCAGACGAGACTCGAGAGCACGACTGCATGCGATTGGGGGAGGGCGGATTAGCATGTTGACCCAAACCTGACCCGATTTAGTGGTTAAGTTCAGGTCGGGTCAATAATTAACACCCTAATTATTATAAATTAATAAATTAATATCTACTGAGGTGATGAGAAGAAGAGCAGAATACATTATTGTTCTTATCTGTTTTATCGAAATCCTAAGTAAATTTTATTTATAATTAAAATAATGAGCTGCTATCAATAGTTTATTTGTGCAATGAAGATGTTAGATTATACACAACTCACCTTGGCTTGTTGGTTGAGAGCTTATGCTTCCAACTAAGAGGTCTTGGGTTCGAGCCTTTGTGTATGAGTTGTGTGTGTGAGTTTGCCTTAATGGCCTAAATGTCCCAAAAAAAAAAAAAGATGTTAGATTACTCACACGTTTGTGATGTTGAGATGCGTATGACGGTTCAAATATTCGCACTAACCTTAATGCCTCTTTTTCATATAATATCGAGCCGGACCACCACGATATTTAAGCTCGAGCTTTGCACGGTTCGGCTCGTCGGTTTTTGACGTCGCACTGATTGTTATTAATTGAAATATTGGTATTTTTATTAGTACATTTATTTTTTTTTTTATCTATATTTAAAATAAGAAATCGAGCTTCAAAAACGAGTCAAGCTCAAGCATTTGAGTTGAGCTGGAGCCCGAATTTGAGTTTAGTAAATGAGCTCGTGTCAAGCTTAAGATTGAGTTCGAATTATGTATAAATTAAATGAATTTGGCTCGATTAGGCGAAACTCACCTCAACTCTCGTTTATATCCCTAATACGAAAAATAAATGATCCGGTGAGGTAAATTTTTCATAAGAAAAAAAAAACTTGAAGAATATGTGTTTCTTGCTCTTTAGAAACTAGAATAATCAATTTTTAATATCGGAATTCTATAAGAAAATGTTTCTTGTCATATATTTAATTAGATTCAAATTTGTTGTGGATAATAGCGAACCCTATTTACAAGCAAACTCAAGAGATAGCAACTTGAAAGCTTATGGTCAGTATGGAGGGCAGTGACAGAATTAGATATTTTTTATAGTGAGAGCCTAAATTTATATTTTAATTTTCTCAACTTTTTTCAACCAAGCTTGAGACCGGTATAGTCATTTAAAAAAAAATAAATTAATTATTTTAAAAAGATAAAATAATGAATATAAGACTACAAAATCTATAATTTATCATATATTTATAATATTTTATTGTTAAGATAATAAAAAACTTATTTTTTAATATAAGCAACTAAAGTATTGTTCAGTCATTGATCTCTAATTATATTTTGTAATCAAATTTTTATAATACTCATAATAGAAAATGATCTTTCTATTTCTATTATTGCAATGGGCAATACTAATGATAGTTTTAATAGCTTAAAAATAAGGGGGATAGACAAATTCTTCTTGCTCTGGATTATTTTCTCAGCAAAACTTACAATATTTTTTAAGAATGAAAATTCTTTATCATATCATGTATCTATAATGCAAGTTCTCGACTAATTATGCAAAATTGCTAAATAAATGCGAGTTACATCATTTGAATAAAGGTCTGTCATTCTAATTAACTTATCTTTATTGAATGCATAAAATAAATTATTTAAATTCAAACATATAATAAAGACAATTAACTCAGTATTTATCTCTATAAAATGATTATTCATCTTTTGAAGTTTCAAATTAATGATTTTGTATAATATTGACCAAAATATAAAAAGGACCATATCATTATTCTAATTAAGCAAAATGAGAGTATTTAATTAAAATAAAATTTAGAAAGGAGCGAATTCATCAAATAATTTGGAGTTGTTTTCTTGAAAATGTAAAATATTTTGACGTTTTCCTAAAATCATTATTTTATTTTATGCATGTAATATATTTCATTTATAGTATTTTATAAAAATTAAATTTATTAAATTAAGCAAAATATAAAGATAACATTTATATACTATTTTAATAATTTTTATATAATTACTAAAAGAGTTATATATAATGTTACATTTAATTAAAATATTAAATGTTATACTAATAATTTTATCAATACAACATTTATATATATGAGTGATATATTTGATATTAAAATTTTATATAAGTAGTAGGAATATAATATTAAAATTTTAAATATTAGATATAAATAACATGAAATAAAGTGGTATATATGTAAATCCCTCTAATTTTAGAAAAAGTTTAGACCATTTTGCCATTGACGTCCGGACATTATATTGTTAACGAAAAATTCAACCCCGCTCGTTGAAGTTACGCATCCAGGTCCAAACACTTGCGAACTCGCATCTCGGCAACCCCTCGCAACCTCGCCATGATGACCCACGGTACCCGCCTTCGTCACGCCATGAATTATTTGGAAGAAAGGCTACAAATGCGCGAAGGTCCATCTATGGTAATGTGGAGTCATCTTCTTCGTACTGTCGCCAGATTAAAGGGATGATACATCGCCCCAATGTATCAGAATATCCGCCAAGATGTTTTCCATGTCCGCATCACCTCCCGACCTCCCCTTTCTTGTGTCACCTCCAATCATACCAGCACCACCGATCTGTCCATCCTCATCGACGCCGATTGACACCGTCGACTGCGCCAGCTAGTTCTCGCATCCCAACTTCCAAACCCACCGTGAGTTGTGCAGGATGATCAGTCGGATGTGCAATCCAATGGAGATTCCATTCGATGTTAATTGAGAATGCTTGGGGCATGCGGAGAAACTGTTCGATGAAATGCTTGCAAAAAGGATGATATAGGTATTCAGCAGCCTCTTACTCGAATGCAGAATAGAAATCCAAATTTCTTTTATTCACTGGATCTTAACCATCATGGTTGTCCGAGGAATCTGTTATGGACCGATGAAAGTTCAAGGGTCTTACGCAAGTACTTTGTGCATGGAGCACGTTTCAGAGGGGAATACTGTGAATTCTCGCATGATTGCAAGGACCAATCCATATGCATGCACCTTTTAAGAGAAAGGGCTGAGCTCTTTTGTCAGTCATTGTAACAATGATCATGTTAAAGTTTCTCGTAGCCAGGTGCCTGGGCCATTGCAATTATCAACGGTAGGGGTGCCAATATTGAACCTGATGCAAAAATCCGATCCAAAAATTTCTGATTTGGGTTGACCCGAATCCGAAGCGGGTCTGGTTCAAGTCCAGAAAACCAACCCGTTTGCAAAACCGGACCCGAAAACCCAAGAATGACCTGGAAAACCCTTTATTGCTTTGATTCCCGTCGTTGGCTCGTTGCTTTGCTTCCGATCAAAATGTTAATTTCCAATCCGACCGGAAGGAAACGTCGTCCATGGAGCTTAAGAGCGAAGTCGAAAAGCAACGAAGGAGTTGGCGAGGGCCACGAGTTCACAGCCATCGAACTCCCGTCGCTGCTGCCATTCACAATGCTGTAACTTCGATCCCACGGGAAGAGAATGATGTCCAAGGAGCGAAGTCGAACAACAACAAAGGTGCCGGCGAGCCAGTAAGGCTGCGAGCAAACTCCCGTCATTGCTTCGGTGCTTCTGATCAAAATGTTGTAACTTCTTATCCGACGAGAAGAGAACATTGTCCAAGAGCGAAGTCGAACAACGACGAAGGTGCCAGCGAGGAAGCAAGGCTACGAGCGAACTCTCATCGTTGCTTCCAATCAAAATGTTGTAACTTCCGATCTGATGGGAAGAACGTCGTCCAGAAACGAAGTCGAACAGCGACAAAGGCGTCGAACCCGTTTATGGGTCGGGTCGGGTCGGGTTGACCCGAACCCAAAGCGGATCAGGTTCGGGTCCGAAAAATCGACTCGTTTGCAAAAACAGGTCGGGTTGACCCCAAACCCGAACTGTGTCAAGTCAGTTCCGGATTCGACCCAAACCGACCAATGATCCGAAATTGACACCCCTAATCAAACGCAAGTCCTTTTGTGGGAAATGATGGGTCTTGAATGGATATTGCAAGCCATCTCCTAATTCCATTTCTGAGTTTTCAGTTTGTACTAACAGCCTTGCTGCCCGACCAATATATCCATTTACTGCTACTATTAGTTGCTCTCATGGTGAAAGACGCCCTCATATTCACGGAGATCAGTGTTCCATCTGTAAAAGACATTGTTTGCATCCATATCGACCTGATGAAAGAGAAGAACGTACAAATTTGTGACAGCAAAATAATCAGCACCTTGAAGCCCTATGTTTTAGTCAGGGCATGTGTACCAAGAAATTCATGGGTGTCTGCAAGAATTCTTCGAACAGGTTGAATGATTTCTAGTCTACTTAGGCTTCGTTTGGGACAGTTTTCTTATTGATTCTTAAAACAACTTTTTAATACAAAAATTAAAAATTTTGTATTAAAAAGCTGCTTTAAGAAACAGTAAGAAAATCATCCCAAATGAAGCCTTAGTCAGAGGGATTGGCGCGGCAATTGTCCATCTATTGGAATGAATGTCAACAATCTATTAAGAGCCGACCC